AGGGAACGTTAATTACATTCCTTCAAATTATAAAAAAAAGAAAAGGAAGAAAAAGGAACGAACTTACCTCAATAGTTTATCAGGAACTGTTCGTTCGGCTTTGTCCGATCGTTCAGGTTCCGTTCCTAAAAAATAGAGAAAAGGGAACGTTAATTACGTTCCTTCAAAATAAAAAAAGAAAAGAAAAGAAGAGGAACAAACTTACCTCAGGAACTGTTCGTTCGGCTTTGTCTGTTCATTCAGGTTCCGTTCCTAAAAAATAGAGGAAAGGGAACGTTAATTACGTTCCCTCAAAATAAAAAAAAGAAAAGAAAAAAAGAGAAACGAACTTACCTCAGGAACTGTTCATTCGGCTTTGTCCGTTCGTTCAGGTTCCGTTCCTAAAAAATAGAGGAAAGGGAACGCTAATTACGTTCCCTCAAAATAAAAAAAAATAAAAGAAAAGAAAAGGAACGAACTTATCTCAATAGTTTATCAGGAACTGTCGTTCAGTTTTGTCTGTTCGTTCAGGTTCCGTTCCTAAGGTCAATTATAATGCAAATGGACGAACAACACATGAAATTAAAATAAAAAAAAATTTTTTTTTTGAAAAGACACTCGAAATCTAAAGGAAAAAAAGAAAAGGTTAGTTTGTGCCACATAAAAAGCAGTTCCTTAAACTTGTTCTAGAAGAAAAATTATCTAAAAAAAATAAATTAATAATTCGAGTCAGCTGTTCGAAAATGATCATCAAATTTCATACTAAATTCAGAATATCAACTGGTTTTTGTCTAGTTTTTATTATGGTTCAGATATTCGGTATAAACACAAATACTCATTTATCTCAAAATGTATGAAATATCGATTTGGTCCATTTTCCCAGCACTTACCCCAGATCGTTTCTGCGATTATGATAAATATTAATCATGCTTTTTGTATCACATTTCTGATCATGTGATTTGCTGTGCCTCATTTTCACTTAGGTAATAGTAGTTTATAATAAAATTTTGATATTATAATATTATTTAACAAGTTTTTTAGAGTTATACGTATTTATTATTATTGCTTCTTAGTATTTTTTTATTATTATTAAATATCTATTAATCTTATATGAATTAATAATTAAAATTAAAAGTATATATAATTATATATTATAATAATTTCTATTTAAAATTTATTATAATTAATAATATAAAAAAACATTTTATTAAATAAATTTTTCTTAAATATAAATATAAATAAAATAGTTTAATCACAAATATATCAAAATTTAAAAAATTTAAGAATAGTTTAAATAGCTATCTTAATATATTATATTAATAATAATTATATTTATAATTTTTATTTTTATTATATATAATTGCTAAAAAAATCAAATAATTTTTATATATTATTATATATTTATTTATATAATTGTTTTAAATTTTATATATTAAAGAGATATTTTCGATTTTTTAAAAAATAATATAATAAACTACTGATAATTTTTAGTAGAATATTTTAGCGTTATAGGTTATTACATTGTTAATTTCTTAATGTCGTAATGCCGGCCGGGATGAAAATTTTTGTTTTGTGATACTTGTCAAATTTCATTTTATAGTATCTATTTGTCACACATATTTGAAGGGGTTAGGTTATGCAGTTCTGCAGTTTCTTGAATCCTGAAACTCAATATTCTAATAACTGAATATATTATTTTATTTTGGTTTTAACTTGAAAGTCATAATATTTTTCACGTGTCAATCTATTTTCATACTCTTTTTATCTTTTTTATATTTAAATAATTAATTGATTGCAGTGCTAATGTTGTACTCGGAACATTTTATTCTTAAAAGGTCTTTTTATACCCCATCTCTGGGATGATCAAGTGTAACACAATTGTCATACAATATGGTCACACTATTATTTGTTTATCGTTTAAGAAATTCCTTTTTATCCAAACAATTTCTTTTTTGTTCACTTTCCTTCACTTTTTTTTTTACACTTCTAAGGATGGGTTTTTATTATTTTAATAAAATATTTAGATTATTTGCAAATTCATATAAAATAATACAAAAATTACAAAGATTGATTAAACCAATACATCCTTTAGAGAGAGTATTTATATTTTTAAACACGATATATATAACGTCTGCGATTATATTGATTCCAAAAACGTTAGGTGAACAAATCAACGGTTATATGCGTGTTTCTGACTGGTTATTTTTCTTAATTGTACCAGGCTTAGTCATAGGAAGCGTTATCACCGTGAGTATCGAAATTTATATATATCCTTCGTCCTAACGTATTTCCTTCATTTTGTCTCATTCTAACACAGTTTTTTTCTTTTTACCTTTTATTATTTTTTTTATTAGATTTATGCACAATCATTACCACATTATGTTATTTTTACAATTTTCAATATAATTCCTATCTTTCTTTACGGATCTTTAATACTGTTTATAAAAGAACTTTGTGAAACAATATTTTGTTCTAATAACAACCATTTAGTTAACTTATCTATTATGTTATTATCCTCTTCTATTTTATATGAATTAGCTATCCTTTCTTTAGGTTATGCCATTTGGAAAAAAGGGTAAATCTTAAATATTTATTTGATCTTTATTTTGAAAAAAGTTTTTAAAAAGAAAAAAATTATTATTTTTTTAGGATATGGAAATATAAAAGTGAATATGACAAAATTGGATATGAAAAATGTCATGCTTGAACATTAAATAATTACTTACAATTTACAATTTTTTTTTATTTGAAAACAAAAAAAAATTATTAATATCAATTCTTTTTCATTTTATATTACATACTGTGATCAAATAAATTTAATTTTACAATATTACAATATCAAAACATCACTCATTTCACGCTATTACTAATCCTTTATTTATTTATACAATAATAATAATGCATGGTTTATCAAATAATAAATAATTACAATTTAGAATAGAATCTTTTTATTTTGAAAGTAATAAAATATATGATATATTTTTTTATTATCCTATCAAGGTTAAAAGCTAAAATGTGATAATCTAATGATAAGAGAAACAAATTTCGACACATGATTTCCCAAACAATCATTATTTTTTAAGATTTTAATTTTGGTCAAAATTTGTTTTTTAATTTGCCCAATATGGTGTTAATTTATTTATTTATATTTGTTTACTCGCACTATTTATTCTATAACCATTCTGGTCCGGGCCGGGGAACAACATTATAAATATCATCAATTTTTTTTCTCCGAGATTTTCTGATTTTCTCCTTTTTATACCTTTTTTAAAAAAAAATGAAGTTAATATTTCAAACTTCACTTTTATTTCTTTTAATCTTATTATTTTCAAATATATCTTCACAAGAAATATCATCATCTGAAGAAAAACAAATAACATTACCGATAATAATTTCCTCCTTTATATCTTTCTTCTCATACTTAAAATACTTTCTTTCCCTCTTGAGTGGATTCCTTCCACAAACTCTTCCATTTTCACTTTACATCACACTGATCTACTCTTTACAATTTTCATTTATCCTATTAACGCTTTCATCGCCAAAATCATCTTTCCATTTTTGCACACTTTATTCTATAGTATTAGTTTATTGTCTCTTACCATTAAATTATGGATATCATTATCCTTGTATGTATCAAGGAATCTTTCCCGTTATAGTTATCACGTATACTTGGAAGATGTTAATTTGGTTAAAACAATTAAAACAAGGCAACTCAAAAATAATACCCTTCTATTATAATTTATTTTGGTGGAGAAAACAAAATTACATGAATAAAAATAAAAATGATTTGCCTAAAATATCCTCGAGATATGTCCTTACCAACTTTATTTCTTTTATAAAATCATCGATGATTCTTGAAATATTGTTAATCTTTATAGAATATTACATGCCAGATATTTCTTCCGTGCCATATCCAATTCGTGTACTTCAATATTTTACATCCCCATCAAATCAAGAATTTTTCTTATCACCAATTCATGCATTCTATTGTGTAATTTATGGATGTATAATTTATTGGAATATGATTTGGATGTATGATATTTATTTGGTAATAGCTTCTTGTTTGTTATATTCCATTCAATTTACAAAGGATGTTTCTTCCACTTCTGAGATCCTCAAAAAGAAATCTTTCCCTCATATTAATTTCTTGATTAAATTAAAAATCCCACATAATTACTTATCAAATCTAGAATATTGGTTATATGATTTCTTATTTCATACCCCTTCACTATTCAATTCTCCACATTTATCTTGTTCTCCTTCGGAATTTTGGTCAATAAGGTGGCATAAACTCTATCGTAATTGTTTTGTCGAATTAGGTTACCTACCTTGTAAACAATTTGTAAATCATTATTATCCTTCCTCTTTACCATTCAAAAAAGAATTGGCTCATATGTTTGGAGTTTTCGCTGGATTCTGGTGGAGCGCTTTATTTCATGAATATATCGTGCAATCCCTATTTGGTTTAGGTACTGGTGAACATTTTACCCTTTTCATATTTCATGGTATCATTATTATCGTTTGGGAAATCATTACGGTCTCATTTAAAAAAATTACGAAAGTTGATCAAAACAATTATGTAATGAAGGGAATTGGTTTCTTTGTGTGGAATTCTATTCTCATCTTATCAGCTCCTTGGTTCGTTGAACCTTATATTAGAGGGCGACATTATTATTGTTATCCCCATTTCGGTTGTAATAAAAATTATTAGTTCATAATACGATTCGTCTGTCAGAATGAATTTAAAATTTTTTTCAGCGCAAAGTGATATTCATTTATTACGATTTTTTTTTTTTTTTTTTTTGAAAAAAAGTGTATTTTTTTTTAATAATTTAAATATATAATATTCATTGCCTAAAGTCTATTTTTGTATGTTTGTATGTATTTATGTATAAAATAATAATACTATTTCTGCTATTTACTTACCTAAAAAAAAAATTTACAAATCACTTAAAAGTAACGGGGTTAAGGATTAACTATAGATTAAGGTAAAAACCCGTGAAATCACCCCCGTTAGTCCTTTTAAAATGAGGATTAAAAGAAATGAATGCATTGAAATAAAAATATAATATATAATACAAATTTTGATTGCAAACAAAATATATATGTAATTAATAAGATAATCCTTTAATAAAATAAATCGAAGTTTTTAAAATTTTTTTTTTTTTTGTTATTGATGATGTGTATATTGATGAGTTTGTATCCCAACCTGCACATATATATTTACCAAATTTATCCGTATATATTTATAATTCCAATTGACCCGCAACTGAATAAAAAAGAAAAGAAAAATCTTGACAGTCGCTTTGTCATATTATCGTCGCATACCATGATGATCAGGTGGAGAATGATGAATAAAGTATCCACTCAAATGTGCTTCATCCATATTACCATTCTGTTGTTGATGATGAAACCTTTCATGATTATGATTACGTGGAATTTCATTAAGAACAGAAGGACGAGAAGGATGTCTGATCATCGTATCCCGTACACGTCGAAGATTCCTCAATACATAATATTCCAGCATTGAGAAAACCGTTGTGATCAGAGTACAAACCCTAAAAACCATTGCAAGGTATTGTCCTGTATTTGTCATTGTACTAAAATTCTCATAAGGTCCAGCTGAACCTAATCTTGTCAAACCCAAGATTCTAACCAAAGCAGGCCATGAACTACTTATAACCAATAAAATTGTAACATTTGTTATCATATGTTGAACGGTCATCCTTCCGAAGCGAGGTCTGATCCTTTTAAATGGTGAAATGGAATAAACTCCAATAATTGTTGCCGAGGTGAAATAAAATATCAATGTAATGTCATTCAATGTGCCAAATCTTCCAAAGATTGATACGGTTTGTTTGCCAAAAAGAGCTTCCAAATTTTTTAAGTCTTTTTCATCATCAACTAACAAACTCTTTACCAAAGTGTACAAGATGTGACCAAGTACAAGAAACCAAATACAATGACTGACTAGGATAAGAACCAAAAACAATATATTACGATAAAGTGCAGAGTGAGATAGATCTTTTTGCGTTTGTCGTCTTTCTTCTTCAAGTTTTTTAAGCTTTGCAATGATTTCTCTTCTTGAATTCGAAAGATTACTTGATCTATTAGATGTATTATTGGCCAGTCCATTAATGGGTGCGTACAACTTTTCGGATGAATAAGGGCATTGTGAGGCTGCTGAAGGAACCAATACAGCAGAACGTGACATTGTGTTATTTGCACCGTGCGATGACCTCAACCCACGTTCTAAATTCTCCAACCTTTGTTGCCATACAGTAATATCCATCTTGTTTTGTATCAATTTTTCCTTTAAGGATCTTCGATAATTTGGCCGCAAAGGAAGTCTGCTAATCCACGAAAATATTGCAATATAACCTTTTGGCGTTGCTTTTAAACATATTAATGCACCTCCTACACATGTAAATAAATTCAAAATTTCCAATTCATCTACGCCCGACATTCCGAAAATCAATTTTAAAATATAAATAAACGCGTACATCAACATTCCAACCAAAACCATTATAGTCAAGGTTTCTCTTGCCTTGGCGAAAAAAGTTCGAAGTTGATCGGTTTCATTATAGAAAAAAGCGAAGGGTAATAAAGCAAATAAAGCAATATTACAACCGATAAATGTATAATTCCACAAAGTCACCAATAATTCAGCATTCAACCAACTCAAATAATAATTTCCAGAGAATAGTTCATTATGCAGCAAAGTCGTTGCTATCATGGTAAATGGCAATAATAAAAATCCAGCAAATGCCATTGCCAATCCTCCTGCACATAAGATGATAATGATTAAATTATCAATGCCATATAGATCATCTTCTTCTTCTTCTACGTCTGAGACCCTGTTTTTTCTTCGAAATCGTTGTAATAAACTATATGATATAGAATAAAGGGAAACGAATAAAAGAAATGCGATTATATTCTGACGAACCCAGTTGTAAAATTCGTTTGCTGCTTTCTCACTTGCATTAAACGTAGAACTTTCTCCTATAGAAGTCATAACAACTACAATAGTAATTAACGTAAATTTTTTTAAAAAAAAATTTTTTAAGGAATTAAAGCTAAATCGGGCAAAGGAAAGTGTAGGAAAGAAGGTTTATGAAATGAGCCAGAATCTTATTCTACTTTCACAAGTGCTTTTTCGTGTACGCGTATTTAAGTAGAAAATATATAAAACCTTACTCTTCCTCTTTAAACCTGAAAATTAATTACTAGCAAATAATTCTTTGACCGTGGAAAAAAAAAAGCTTTTTCTTCCCCGATAAATTTATCATCAAAAGTTTGTACTTGTTTACATATTTATATATGTTGTCACTTTATGAATACTTAATTTGTAAATTTGTGAATTCATCAAAATGCGTATCCCATTGTGGTATGATGTTGTATCACCATAATATTATAGTATAAAATCACGTTTTTTAATGAATTCACATATAAAATATTCAACTGGCTGGTCACAGATAAATCCGCTCGCTTTTGAGATTTTTTCATTATTTGTAAAATGTTATACCAATTAACGCCAAATTTCGTAATTCATCGAAAAATTTTCAAGATTAAAGCTAATTTGTAATAAGTTATATTAACAATAATATGAAATAATTATTTATTGTATAATTTTCAAGATTGATTTTATAGATTTGTAATCTGATTAATGATTTTAATAAAATTTGAATTAACAAAGGCTATTAAGAAGCATTTACCTAAAAATATGCGTAAAAAAATGCTTTAATAATGAATTTTTAAATAAAACAATTATTTATTATAAAAACATTATCCTAATATAAATTATAGAAAATTACAAAAAAATAAAACAATTTATCTTCTAATAAAATGGAATAAATAAGTCTAAACTATTAATCAAATCCAATTAATCATATTAATTTCCACCTTTTTATTGCAAAATGCTTAAATATGAAAATACTAATAAAATAATAAAAATATCATTGAATATAATAAGAAATTAAATGAATAATAGAAAATGCAAAAGCTAAATAGATATAAATAAGAAAGGTTCATATTTAAATGATAAAATTTATGTATTTAAAAATCAATAATAATCTAAAATTTATATTGAAAAATAAATGTTTTTTATTAATTTTTATAATAGAAATAACAACTTCTATTCTAAATAGATTTACTTTATATGATTTTTAAATTTGTTAATCTAACGTCTTATGATATTTATATAGTTTTAATAAAATAATATTAATATTACATTAAAATAGTAGAAAGTATTTATTCTAAAAAACTAAAGATAATAATCTGTTTAATAAAAAATTTATAAAATAATTTTATAAAAATTATTGATATACTAATATTTATTTTAAATAAATATTACCTAATATATATATAATGGTAAAATATATAATTTATTATCTTTATTTTACACTTTTAGTTTCTATTTTATTATATATTCTAAAAACTTTTTGAAATCATCCTATTTATTATTGTTATCTGTATCAATTTCTATAATATTTGCAAAAGTTATATAAAGTTAATTTTCATGATAATATTATGATAAAATCTGATATATTATAAATTTAGATATAATTTATATAATTAATGAAATAAAAAAATAAAAAATAATTATTATAACTTATTATATTTTTGAAAATAAAATATTATCATCAGAAAATAAGTAACCTATTTTTTTATAATATTATTTATTTTAAAAGTTTAAAATAAAAAGAATATATAGAAACTTTGCAGTAGAAAGGGAGGAAACTCTAAAAAAAATTTTTTAAGTTAATGTTAAATCTGAACTTATTTTACTAAAAAAATCATAATTAGCTTAGAAAGTAAAATTTTAATTTTTTTAGAGTTTCCTCCCTTTCTACTGCAAAGCTTCCATATAGCTTAAAAATTTCAGTTAAATTGAATTAATATATGAATCACTATATGATAAAAGTATTATAATTATTGATCATCTAATAGATGTATGTATTATACCAATTTATTATACCAAGTATAATAAATAAAATATATTAAGAGTTTCTAATAAAATTATTTATCATAAGGTAAAACAAGTTATTAAATATAAACAAATCTCATATTTTATAAAATAGAAGATAGAATTTATTACATATACAAGAAAATATGAAAATATTTAAGTAACAAAAAAATTAATATTAATCATAATATGATATAATGATATTGAATACTAGTAAATTTAAACTAGAATATTAAAAATAATAAAAAAACAAGTGGAATAATTTGGCTAAAAAGTGGTTTATTTGAAAAAAACTGTATAAATAGACTATTAAGTAAAGAAAGCAAAGCCTAACTATATTATATAAAGTAATATACTAAAAATTTTAAATAAAATAGAAAATTAGAACTTTATGGGATTTTAGTAAAGAACTATATCTTATCTAAAGTTATTAGAAAAACTAGAGAATATATTGTTTTAATCTTATAACTTTAAGTTTTACTTATAAAAGTAAAAGAATATTCTAATGGTTTCTACAATGATAAAGCTGACTTATTAGCAAAAAAATAAATGTTATCTTGAACTTCTTACTATTGATTTTACAGTTACTGATCTGATTCTATTATTTTAAAATATCATATTAGAGTTACTAAAATGCTAAAATATTAAAACTTTGACAAAGCTATATTAAAATCTTATAATTACTTATAATAAAATACCAAAATAATAAAACTATTATAATAAATGCTAAAACTAAAAAATTATGATAAAATTATATTAAACTCTTATTAAAATTTTATCGAATTAACTATATAATTTTGAAGAAGTTTAAATAAATATTTTTAATCTCACTATTGGTTAAAAGTAATTTTAAAAAGATATATATTGATATTATGATAAAATACAAAAATATTTCAAAACCTTTCAAATAAAACTTATGAAATTTTAGTGAAATTCTTATTAATTTATAATTAATATTAGACTTGAAAAATCTTATAAGTTAGAAAATATCTATTAATATAAATCAAATACTTGTATGATTTAATATAGTTATTAATTTTATCATAAATCTAAAAGATAAAAAAACTATTTATATTCATATAATAGATAACAAAAAAATCAATTTACTATTATTTAACATATACTATAAATATTTCTTTCTTTTTTATTCTAAATTATGAAATTCTTTTAATAATCTATATCTGATTTAAACTTATTTATCAAATAACATATTAAATAAAACCAAATTATTTTCTATTTACATCTTTAAAGAAAAATAAATATCATATAGAAAACAAGTTTCTTTTAGTATTATAATTTGGTTTTAAAAAAAACAATTAGATAGATTCAATTTAATACTAAAATGTATTAACTATTTTAATAATTATAGATCATTCAAAGAAATAATTAAAGTTCTACATAAGATAAACTGATTTATAAGCTTTATAAGCTGACTCACTAAAGCTCAGTTTAAATTACTATAAAATAGCTTACAAGTTGATTAAGCTAGTTTATGTATCTTAGCTTATAATATAGTACAATTCGTTAGCTTAGATTTTTCTTTTTCAAAATAACAAATCCAGATAGAACTCTAAACAGGTCTAATCAGATCAGATCAAATATAAAATTAACCTAAATTAAATATATATTAATCTAATCTACAGAGGGTGAACAAAAATATTCATACACTTTCTAATATATAGTATTTAATGTCAATTTTCTCAATACCTAACAATTCAAATTAAAATAACTTTTATAAATTATATTTAAATAATATATTTATAATATATCAAAGTTCGAGCTAATTTAATTACTAATTAATAAGAAATTTAAAATAATAATAAAATAATATTTTATAAAAATTTTCAAAAAAAGTATTAAAGTTTTTGTATACGATCGTTACCAATAAATATCTCAAAATCTAATGATTCAAATTAGACCAAATTTAATATATTATTATTATAATCTAATATTATAATATATAAAATATGAGCTAATTATAATTATAGGTTGTTGAGAAAATGGATATATATATAAATTATAAAAAATTATTAAAAATTATTTATATACTATCATTGATGTCGATTTTCTCAGCACCTAGTAATTTAAATTAGCTAAATTTTTATATGTTATAAGATTAGATTGTTTTTATAATATATAAAATTTTGGTCTAATTTGAATCACTAGATTTTGAGATATACAATAATTACATTCATATGTGAAAACTTTTATCTACACTCTGTATATATCATATAATTTCAGATAAGATCAGATTAGGTCAGATTAGATCAGTTATATCTGAATTGAACTAATCTGTCTAAAAAAGGAATTTTTTGTTTACTAGTTTAGCAATATTTATTTTAAATAAAAATCATATAATTCAATATTTATTAATTTGTTTAATATTTTTTAAAAAAATATAAAAAACATTTGATACATTTTTACACTTTATTATTTCAGTAAAATTTTCAAAAAAAAACAAAATGATTATTTATGTAATAAAATATTTTAAAATTTTTATTGTTTATTAATTTTAAAATTTAAAATTACAGTTATAATAAGTCTGTAAATTAGATAACTGCTAATATAATTACAAAAAATATTTATAACTTTAAAATTATTAATCAAATTATAATAAAATTTATAAAACAAATTTAATTAAAAGCCTAAAATTGATTTTCTTTGACCAAAATGCTTAAAGTCATTGAACAGATAAATAAAAATAAATAAAATTTTATGAATTATACAATTACAAAAATGTGTATAATTTTACAATCATTAATCCTATTATAATAAATATTTATATAAGTATATTTTTAAACCTACTA